TAGAAGAGGTAAAGCCAAAATTTCTAACATTGAAGGTGACAAACAAAATATAAACTATAATGGTAGTAACAACAATGCTGAACTCACAAACATGGAAGAGAATAGAGAACAACTTATCCAACTTCAAGGAAAAATAAATGGACACCCTGCTCAAATTTTAATAGATAGTGGAGCATCACAAAATTTCTTAGATAAACAATTTGTTGAACGTCAAGGTATTCAGACTCAGAATATTGAGCATGTAACAGTAGAATTAGCAGACGGAAGAAAAATGGGAACAGACAAAGTAGTTAATATTAAAAATTTAGAATTAGATACATATCACACTACAGGGATTGTTGCTCAAGTCATTGGGTTACAACAATACGACGCCATCTTGGGAAAACCATGGTTGTTTCACACCAACCCCAACATCAATTGGAGGGATAACACCATGACCTTCCACTATGGATCAAAAACTATTGTTGTAAAGGCCAATTCCAACAAAACAACAACCAATCCTAGTTGCCATTCTGTGTATATTTCTCGCCAACAGTTAGCAAAGGTACCTACAAGTGCTGAACTTTTTGCTGTATATATTAATGAGGTTAAGCCAACAGCAACTGATGCAATTCAACCAGATGTTACTACAATGATACAAAGTTTACCGATGTATTTCCTGAGTCCTTGCCTAACCAATTACCTCCAAAGAGAACTGTTGATCACGCCATTAAACTAACACCTGGAGCTGAACCCCCTTCTCACGCTATTTATCGAATGTTATATGAAGAAACTAATGAACTGAAGAAACAACTTGCAGACTTATTAAAGAAAGGATATGTTCGACCCAGTACATCACCATTTGGAGCACCTGTGTTATTTGTTCATAAGAAAGATGGTACATTGCATCTTTGTGTTGACTATCGGGCATTAAACAAAATTACTATCAAAAATAGATACCCATTGCCTTGCATTGAAGACTTGATGGATAGACTTGTTGGAGCAAAGTATTTCACTAAAATTAATTTGTATTCTGGATACCATCAAATCCGTATTAAAGAAGAAGACATCCAGAAAACTGCTTTTCGAACTAGATATGGTCATTATGAATTTCTTGTACTTCCTTTTGGTCTGACTAATGCACCAGCAAC